AAAAAAAAAAACTGGAGTCATATAATGAAAAGCAATGGAATAGAGCTGAAGCAAAATTTAGTGGCTAAGATTTCCCAGAATTGATGAAAGACATCAATCCACAGATTCAAGATGTACAAAGAATCCTAAACAGAATAAATGAAAAGAATCAGAGCCAAATATATCACAAAAATTAAAGACAGAAAATCTTAAAGTAGATGTGGGGGAGGGGCCGTATGAGAGAGAGCCTTCAAAGGACTAGCTGTTAGACTGAAACAGCTATTCTCAATAGCAACAATGGAATCCAGAAGACAGTGGAGCAGCATCTTCAATATGAAAGAAAATAACTGCCAACCTAGAATTCACACACTGTGAAAATATCCTTCAAGGAGGAAGGTTAAATAGAAACATTCTCACAGAAGTAAAAACAGAATTTGCTTATATCATATCCATGCTAAAGGAAACACCAAACCCTTCATATCCACAGGAGATTGGTAGATTGGATCCAGGATATCCCCACTTAGGGTACTAAAATCTGCAGATGCTCAAATCCCTCATATAAAATGTCACAGTATTTGCATGTAACCCATGCACATTTCCTATATAATATAAATCATCTCTAATTACTTTTAATACCTAATACAATGTAAATGCTATGTTAATAGTATTACACTGTATTGGTTTTTATTTTTATTATTTTTTATTGTTGTGTTATTTTTATGTTTTTTCCCTGAATATTTTGATCCAAGGTTGGTTGAATCTTCAGGTGCAGATACAGAGGGTCGACTATATACAAAGAATGAATACAGAAGGGGACAGAGCATACAGATCAGGAGCAGAGGAAAAAAAAATCTAGAGTTCTAAGAAATTTGCATTATTCGTATAAAGATAAAAGTAACAATAAAATAAGACTTTGATAAGTGAAGGGTATATGTTATAATTCTAGGGGTATCAGTAATAATAAAAGTGTATCACTTCTAAACTAACAAGAAAAAAAATGAAAAACTTTTGAGTCACTCAAAATGACACACAAAGGAAAAGAAAAATAAACATAGAATAGGTGGACAAATAGAAAACAAGTACTAAAGATGGTAAATTTAAATCTAATATATTAATATTAGTTTTTCCATTTAATGCAAATGGAATAAATGCTTAAGTTTAAAGCCAAAAGACTGTCAGAAAGAATGAAAAACAAAATTAAAAGTCAAAATAGTAAATGATTCTAGAACTCAAGTCTCAGTATAATATAAGCTTAAGTTGTAAATGCAAGGCTTAAAAATATTGTGATAAAGATACATGTGAGAGTGCCTCAATCTTAGGGCCCCCCCTCTTCTAAATAAAAGAGTCTGTGGCTTTCTGGTTTAAGTATTGTGTCATGTTTTTATACCTTCTTTCTCAGTAATAGCATTGCAATTATCTTCTTCCCAGTTGTTGCCCACACTATTTATTTCTTTTGCCATAAAGTTTTAATTTATATTATTATGAAATTATTAATCTTTCTTTAGTTTATATTTGGGATCTTATTTAAGATTTTCTTAACCCTGAGTGTATAAAATAGTCTACAATAGCTTATCGTAGATTAGTTTTAGTATAATAGTATATATTTTTTTTTTTTGGCTTTTGTTGTTTTATGATATAGTTGTGTTACTTTAGGTCTTTAACACCTGAAATTTATTTGTTTATGCTGGTGGATTAGGATCTAGTTTCATTATTTTCCATATGGACATGGCACGCTATGTTTAATAGTCATTTTTCTCCTCTATCTTCTGACACAGGAGGATGTTTCTGAAATCTACACTTCATTTGTATTGGTTTATTTGTCTATCCCTGAGCCACTTCCATACTGGCTTAATGACTGTGAGTATAGTCTTATGGGTATAGCTTTAAGTAATTATGAATATGTGGATAGAGTGAATGTACCCACTTCTTAAATCTTCTAATTGTTCTGGCTATTCTTGGCCATTGTATTTTCATTAAATATTAGGATCAGGCCGGGCGCAGGGTCACGCCTGTAATCCTAGACACTGGAGGCCAAGGTGGAGGATTGCTCGAGGTCAGTTTCGAAAAAACCTGAGCAAGAGCCGAGACTCGTCGTCTTACTATAAATGAAGAATTAATTCGCCAACTACATATATAAAAATTAGCCAGGCATGGTGGCACATGCCTGTAGTCCCAGCTACTTGGGAGATGAGACAGCAGGATGCTTGAGCCCAGGAGTTTGAGGTTGATGTGAGCTAGGCTGACGCCACGGCACTCACTAGCCTCTGGCAACAAAGCAAGACTCTGTCTCAAAAAAATAAAAATAAAAAATAAATAAATAATTAGGATCAGTTTATAAATTCCACAAAACTTATATTGGTTTTACTTGAATTGCATTGAATTTTAAATTAATCAAAACAGCTTAGGCTAAAACTGAAATAGCTTAGTATCCATCAATAGATAATAAACAAATAGTCATCATACAATGGACTAATTACTGCCAATAAAAAGAACAAACTGCTGATACCCATGACAGCATTGATGAATCTAATTCTAAGTGAGAGAAAGTTATAAAAAAGAGGTATATATTGTATGATTTCATTTTGGAGTTCTAGAATAGGTAAAGTAATGTAGGGGTGAACAACCACAGAATAGTTAAACCTTTCAGATATGCATATATATGCATAAGGCACTCTCCCAGGCAACAGAGTGAGACTCTGTCCGAAAAAAAAAAAAAAAAAAAAAAAAAAAACTGGAGTCATATAATGAAAAGCAATGGAATAGAGCTGAAGCAAAATTTAGTGGCTAAGATTTCCCAGAATTGATGAAAGACATCAATCCACAGATTCAAGATGTACAAAGAATCCTAAACAGAATAAATGAAAAGAATCAGAGCCAAATATATCACAAAAATTAAAGACAGAAAATCTTAAAGTAGATGTGGGGGAGGGGCCGTATGAGAGAGAGCCTTCAAAGGACTAGCTGTTAGACTGAAACAGCTATTCTCAATAGCAACAATGGAATCCAGAAGACAGTGGAGCAGCATCTTCAATATGAAAGAAAATAACTGCCAACCTAGAATTCACACACTGTGAAAATATCCTTCAAGGAGGAAGGTTAAATAGAAACATTCTCACAGAAGTAAAAACAGAATTTGCTTATATCATATCCATGCTAAAGGAAACACCAAACCCTTCATATCCACAGGAGATTGGTAGATTGGATCCAGGATATCCCCCACTTAGGGTACTAAAATCTGCAGATGCTCAAATCCCTCATATAAAATGTCACAGTATTTGCATGTAACCCATGCACATCTTCCTATATAATATAAATCATCTCTAATTACTTTTAATACCTAATACAATGTAAATGCTATGTAAATAGTTATTACACTGTATTGGTTTTTTATTTTTATTATTTTTTTATTGTTGTGTTATTTTTTATTGTTTTTTCCCTGAATATTTTTGATCCAAGGTTGGTTGAATCTTCAGGTGCAGATACAGAGGGTCGACTATATACAAAGAATGAATACAGAAGGGGACAAGAGCATACAGATCAGGAGCAGAGGAAAAAAAAATCTAGAGTTCTAAGAAATTTGCATTATTCGTATAAAGGATAAAAGTAACAAATAAAATAAGACTTTGATAAGTGAAGGGTATATGTTATAATTCTAGGGGTATCAGTAATAATAAAAGTGTATCACTTCTAAACTAACAAGAAAAAAAAATGAAAAACTTTTGAGTCACTCCAAAATGACACACAAAGGAAAAGAAAAATAAACATAGAATAGGTGGGACAAATAGAAAACAAGTACTAAAGATGGTAAATTTAAATCTAAATATATTAATATTAGTTTTTCCATTTAATGCAAATGGAATAAATGCTTAAGTTTAAAGCCAAAAGACTGTCAGAAAGAATGAAAAACAAAATTAAAAGTCAAAATAGTAAATGATTCTAGAACTCAAGTCTCAGTATAATATAAGCTTAAGTTGTAAATGCAAGGCTTAAAAATATTGTGATAAAGATACATGTGAGAGTGCCTCAATCTTAGGCTCTTTTCAGATATGCATAGATATGCATAAGTTAAACCAAAAAAGAAAAGCTTCCAATCCAAACAACATTACCTGCAGCAGCCAGATGGGCTGTTACCTCATCAGCTGCTGTGGAATTGAGTATATCTGAATCATCATAAGAGGTGTCCTCTGGGGAAGAAGGTGAGTCTTCATCAGCACTCAGCATACTGTGCTCAGTGTAAGTGGCCACATGGACCTGCTGTACTTGTTGGGCCACTGCATGGGCTTCTATGGTAGCCATGTGTTCAGTTTGTGTCACTCCGTGTTCCTCCATGAAGATCTACTGTCAGACAAAAAAGGAAAAGAACAGCATTCAGTGTGTAATATAACACAATACTTAAGCTAAGAGATATTTTCTTCAAGGACAGAGGAACTTTGACAAACCTCTGAATTTCACTGCTTACCTCATCACACCAAGTCACAGGAAATGAGAAGCACCGCTCAAATGTAACATAAAAATGATGGAATATGTTCCTTATGTGAAACCATTTTGATGGAAATTCACTGTACTAATTTTATATCTTGGCTCCCAAAACAATAAATAGCCTTGATAATAAAGATGTTCAAATATAACAATAAAAATATACTTAAAATATCCCAGTGACCAGCATTTGACATTGTAGACATAAAAACACTTAGGAAATAAATGAAATACTTAACATTTTATTTGTATTTCAAAGAGTTACACTTTTTTCTCCCAAAATACAATTATTCAAATTGGTTTTTCTCCTTCCAAAATTGTGTTTCTTGTAAATCCCAAAATGATGCAGTAATTTAAAGCAGGAGGTTTAAAGTCTGCCCCATGTCTCCCACCCTCAGAAGTTCATTATTCTTAAAAATAAATAAATGTTTAGACCATGCATGCATACATATAGATTTAAAATAAAAAGAGGTTCATATTACAAGTAGCTTGCCTGTTTTTGTTTTTTTTTTTTTTTGTCTTTAGAGACAGGGTCTTCCTTTTTCACCCAGGATAGAGTGCAGTGGCGTGATCATAGCTCACTGTAACCTAGAATTCCTGGGCTCAAGCGATCTTCTTGCCCCAGCCTCCCAAGTAGCTAGGACTACAGGCATGCACCACCATGCTTGGCTAATTTTTTTTTTCCTATAGAGACAGGTTTTTCCTATGTTGCCCAAGCTGGTCTTGAACTCCTGGGCCAATGATCCTCCCATCTCTGTCTTCAAAAGTGCTAGGACTATAGGTGTGAGCCACTGCACCCAGTTGAGAGATATTTGTATACCCATGTTCATAGAAGCATTATTCACAATAGCCAAAAGGTAGAAGCAAACCCAGGTCCACTGACGGATGAATGGGTAAACAAAATGTAGTACATACATACTACATATAAGTCAGCCTTGAATAGGAAGAAAATGCAAATTGGGAATAGAAGGGAACTTTCTCAACCTGATAAGGAGCATCTATAAAAAGCCTATAGCTAACATTATATCTAATTATAAGAATTATAAGAAACTGGAAGCTTTCCCAATAAGATTAGGAATAAAGCAAAGAAGGCTCTTTTCACCACTTCTATTCAACATTGTACTGGAAGTCCTAGCTAATGCAACAAGATAAAAAAAGAAATAAAGCGTACCCAGATTGGGAAGTAAGAAATAAAACTGTCTCTGTTCATAGATGGCATGATTGTCTATGTAGAAAATCCAAAATAATAATAAAAAAAAAATTCCTAGAATGGATAAGTAATTATACGAAGGTTGCAAGAGCAAAGTTACTATATGAAAGTCAACTGTTTTCCTATATACCTGCAACAAACAAGTAGGATTTGAAATTAAAAGCACAATACTATTTATAATAGCACCTCCCCAAGTGAAATGCTAAAGTATAAATCTAACAAAATATGTATAAGATCTATATGGAGAAACTACAAAACTCTGATGAAAGAAATCAAAGAACTAAATAAATAGAGGGATGGTCCATGTTTATGGATAGAAAGACTCAATATACTGCCAAGATGTCAGTTCTTTCAACCTGATCTCTAGATTCAACATAATTCCAGCCAAAATCCCAGCAAGTTATTTTGTGGATATCAACAAACTGATGCTAAAGTTTATATGGAAAGGCAAGAGACCCATAATAGCCAACAGAATATTGAAAGAGAAGAACAAAGTCAGAAGATTGACACTACCCAACTTCAAGACTTATTATAAAGCTACAACAATCAAGTGTCGTGTTGGCGAAATGACAAATAGGTCAATGGAACAGAATACAGAGCCCCAAAATAGACCTATATAAATATAGTCAACCGATTTCTTTCCTGACAAAGCAGCAAAGAGAATACAATGGTTGGACAAAGATAGTCTTTTCAACAAATGGTGCAGGAATAAGTGGACATCCAGATACCAAAAAATGAATCTAGATGCAGACCTTACACCCTTCATAAAAATTAACTGAAAATGGATCACAGACCTAAATGCAAAATGCAAAACTACAAAACTCCTATAACATAGGAGAAAATCTAGATGACGTTGGGTATAGCAATGACTTCTTAAATACAACACCAAAGACACAATCAATTAAAGAAATTGATAAACTGGACCTCATTGAAATGAGAACTTCTACTATGTGAAAGACATTGTTCAAAAAATGAAAAGACAGGCCATAGCTGGGAAGAAAATTTCTGCAAAAGCCATATTTGATAAAGGACTTTTATCTAAAATAAATAAAGAATTCTTGGCTAGGCGTGGCACCTCATGTCTATAATCCAAGCACTCTGGGAGGCCAGGGAGGATCGCTCAAGGTCAGGAGTTCCAGACCACCCTGAGCAAGAGTGAGACCCCGTCTCTACTACAAATACAAAGAAATTAATTGACCAACTAAAAATATATAGAAGAAATTACCCGGTTGTGGTGGCGCATGCCTGTAGTCCCAGCTACTTGGGAGGCTGAGGCAGGAGGATCGACTGAGCCCAGGAGTTTGAGGTTGCTGTGAGCTATGCTGACGCCACAGCACTCTAGCCCAGGCAACAGAGTGAGACTCTGTCTCAAAAAAAAAAAGAGAGGCCGGGCGCTGTGGCTCACGCCTGTAATCCTAGCTCTTGGGAGGCCGAGGCGGGCGGATTGCTCAAGGTCAGGAGTTCAAAACCAGCCTGAGCAAGAGCGAGACCCCATCTCTACTATAAATAGAAAGAAATTAATTGGCCAACTGATATATATATAAAAAAAAAAATTAGCCGGGCATGGTGGCGCATGCCTGTAGTCCCAGCTACCCGGGAGGCTGAGGCAGAAGGATCACTCAAGCCCAGGAGTTTGAGGTTGCTGTGAGCTAGGCTGACGCCACGGCACTCACTCTAGCCTGGGCAACAAAGTGAGACTCTGTCTCAAAAAAAAAAAAAAAAAAAAAAAAGAGAGAGAATTCTTAAAACTCAAAAATAAGAAAATGAATAATCCAAATAAAAAACAGGCAAAAGTCCTGAAGAGAGATCTCACCAAAGATGATACACAGATGGTAAATAAGCATATGAAAAGATGTTCAACACCGTATGTCACTGGAGAACTGCAAATTAAAATAACAAGGAGATATCACTACACATCTATTAGAATGGCTAAAATCCAAAATACTGACAACACTGACAACATCAGATGCTGTTGAAGATGTGGAGAACACAACATAGGATGGCCACTTTAGAACACATTTGTCAACTTCTTACACAACTAAACATACTCTTACCATACAATCTAGCAGTTGCACTCCTTGGTATTTGTCCAAAGGAGTTGAAAACTTATGTCCACAAAAAAACCTGCTCACGGATATTCGTAGTAACTGTACTCACAATCACTAAAACTTGGAAACAACCACAATGTTCTTCAGTAGATGAATGAATAAGCAAACTATGGTACATCCAGACAATAAAATATCATTCAGCACTAAAAAGAAATGAGCTATCAAACTATGAAAGACATGAAGAAACCTTAAGTGCACATTGCCAAGTGAAAGAAGTCAATTTGAAAAGGCTACATTCTTGTATTGATTTGTGACTTTGCCAAAAAAAAAAAAAAAAAAAAGGCTACATTCTGTATAAACTATGTGACCTTCAAAAAAGGCAAAACTACGGAGACAGTAAAAAGATCAGTGCTTGCCAAGGATTAGAGCAAAGGAAGGGAAGAACAGGCAGAGCACAGAGGATTTTCAGGGCAGTGAAACTACTCTGTACTACTATAAGGGCAGATACACGTCGTTATACATTTGTTCAAACTCATAGAATGTACACCACAAAGAGGGAAGCCTAATGTAAATTATGGACACTTTGGGCAATCATGATGTGCCAATGTGGGCTCACTGAAATAAATGTACCATTCTGGTACAGGATGCTCATAGTGGGTGAGACTATATATGTATGAGGGCAGGGAGTATATAGAAAATCTCTATACCTTCCACTCAATTTTGCTGTGAACCTAAAACTGCTCCAAAAAAAAATGAAAGTCTATTTAAAACCAGTTTTTATTAAAAAAAAAAAAAAAAAAAAAGGAAATTCTAATAAATGCTACAAGCAGCATGAGCCTGGAGGATATTCTGCTCAATGAAATAAGCCAGTCACAAAAAGATAAAATACTACATATTTATCGGAGGTATCTAGAGTAGTCAAATTCATAGAGATAGAAAGTAGACTAGTAGTTATCAGGGGCTGGGGCTACAGAATTTCAGTTTTTCAGGACAAAAAGAATTCTAAAGATTGGTTGCACAACTACTGAAATTTATGCCTAAAAATGATTATGATGGTAAATTTACTGTTATGTATATTTTACAACTAATTTTTTTCCCCAATTATCCTTTACACCAGCAGTGTGACTTCTGTGCAAACAATAAGGACTAATCTTAGAGCAGAATAAAACTAGCCCATATTATCTTCATAAAAAAAAAACTTAGCATATTATTTAAGAATGAAGTATTTTTATTTTTGTAATTTCCTCAGACTCTTCAAATTTTTTTTTTTTTGGAGTCAGAGTCTCACTCTGTTACCCAGGCTAGAGTGCCGTGGTGTCAGCCTAGCTCACAGCAACTTCAAACTCCTGGGCTCAAGCAATCCTACTCCCTCAGCCTCCCAAGTAGCTGGGACTACAGGCATGCGCCACCATGCCCGGCTAATTTTTTCTATATATTTTTAGTTGGCCAATTAATTTCTTTCTATTTGTATTAGAGACAGGGTCTCGCTCTTGCTCAGGCTGATTTCGAACTCCTGACCTTGAGTGATCCACCTGCCTTGGCCTTGCAGAGTGCTAGGATTACAGGCATGAGCCACCGCACCTGGCCAACTCTTCAAATTC